TGCAATGGCTACAATTCAAACTAATTTAACAGATCCAACACAACCAAATGATGCCACTCAACAATCTGACTACTTTGGTTACTGTAACGCGGTGGGAGAACTGACTTGGTTGTTTTGCGTTTGATCACAAATGTTGCGGTTAGCAAGAGTCGTCACCGACTTTTCTTTTATCCAAAAGGAAAGGTTGAAAAGAATATGAAAGACCTTTGAGATGTTTTCTTGAGTTCGGGGGTAGATTATGAAAATGGAAGGTATTAGCATCCTTTTCATCCGTAGTTATCTACGGGCTCTTAGTTGCTTGCTAGGTCACTTGCTTTTATTTGAAAATGTGATTTATGTGGTTTTTGAAAGTATTTTGAAAAGGCACCATCGTTTAGGAAAACTTTGTAATGATTCTCGTTTGTAAGAATGTATACAAAGTGTTGATATTTTGAAAATATTTTCAAGTTTGAAAGATGTTTTTTGAAAGTGTTGGTGTTTGTTTTGAAAATAGCAAGGATATTTTGGTTTGAAAATGAGCAAGCGACTAGGAACATTCTACCTACTCAAAAGTCTTTAATGTTTATTTCCTCTTTCTTTTTACATTGTTATCTTACCATTTATTTGGTAAGAAACCCTATCTTTGAATGTAAAGGGAAGGGCATAGGTCATTGTATAGCCATTAATTTAATTAAAGAAAACAAGTTTTTAGGGTTTTGTTTGTGAAAAGTTTTAATTAAGTTAAACTAGTATAAAAATTAATTAATTAAAAGAAAACCTAGGTTCTAAGTTAATTTTTAACAAAAAAGGAAAACTTGGTTCTAATATTAATTTATTTTGAAGAAAAAGAAATTAATTTGTTTCAAGAAAATATTTGTAATGTGTGAAAATAATAGTCAAAATCCTAAATTCTAATTAATTTACAAATTAATTATCAAAGATAAAATAAAAGGTGATTAAAATAAATTTATTTTTATGTTAAAAATTAATTTAATTAAATAAAAACCTAAATCTATTTTTTAATGATTTTTTGTATTAAGAAAAATAATTAAAAGGAAATAATGGTATAAAAAACAAAAAAACAAAAAAGAATGGGCCATGTGACAAAAGTGAGCAGGGGGGTAGAGAAAGCAAGAATTCAAGGCCCAAAGGGGGGAGGCCCAGCGCTGGCTACAAACAAAAAAAGGAAACAGAAAATATGAAAAATAACAAAAGGGGCACTAGGGCTCGAACCCAGGTCCGTTAGGTGAAAGGCACGCGCTTTAACCACTGGGGTGGTGATACATCTGATGTTTAATACCAAACCATTGTGTTATATTTTAATACATTTCCTGAAGACAACTTCATCTTCAACCTCACTCCTGCCTGAACTCCTACATCTTATTCATATCTCAACCAAATTGAAAAATGTGAACATGAAACTTGTGGAAAATTCCATCACGATTCCAGAAATGTAAAGCATTAAAACTATAGATCTAAGACAAGCATGAATTTTGAATAGTACCAAATTTAACCTAAATTTTCTAGAAAGTTCAAGTCCCAAATTCTCTCTACTCAGGCCATATAAATGAAATCTATAGATATGTACAGTTTCAGGACAATGATATGTACATTTTGTCTTTGAAAATGCAAGCCTAACAATGCCTAAATCATGAGATGAAAAGTCAGAAAACTCACCTTGCAGCTGGAGACCGTGTTTTGAGTTAGAGCTACTTTTAAAGTATTTTGATGATTGAGTTAGCTTCCTTGAACCTCCAGGAAGCTAATGCAAAGCTTACTTTGTGCTGAGAGTTCTTGAATCAAGCTGAAGAAGTCAATGTGCAATGCCCTATTTTTGAAAATGGAGGATGGTGCAAATGGTATTACAGTTTGAAAACAAGGGTTGGGATAGCTTATATATGTGTATTAGAAGCTTTGTGGATGGTTTGGTCAAGAAACGCACGAGGGGATTTGGAGATTGGATTCAAAAATCAGAAATGACAAGTTTTTGTGCTTGTATGGAAATTTCTGGTTTTGGAGAGTTTGAGGGAGTTTGATAGCTTGTAAAATCGTGTCTTAAGTTGCATGAGAGTGTCTTGAGATATAGGAAAAGTTTTTTAGACTTGTAGAAGTCAGAAGTACAAAAATCACATGCCTGTGGATTTTGACTTGTTTTTGAAGCAACATGGATAAACATGGTTTCAAGGCAAGGTAGGGTGGTTCATAACTTTAAACATACTTCTTCTGATCTTATAGACTTAGTTTGTGCAGAAGGAACAAATACAAGGCTCAAGAATTGATTTTGTGCATAAAGCTACTTTTCCAAAATGGCAATGTGCACTTTCTCCCCAAAATGGAAATAAGCATGGGAAATGCATTGAATGCTTGAGTTAAAGCCTCTAACAGCTGTGAAAACATTAATTATGGAGTTAAAAGCAAGTTTGAGGCCTGCAAAGCAAAGATTGTGCAGCCTAGCATGGATTTGAATTCTTGTTCATCATAAAAATGACCTATAATTCAAGAATGAAATGCCAACATCATGCCTTCGATTCTCCTTGCTCAAACATGATCTCAAGGATTTCTTGGACATTTTATAAAGCTTGTAATGTAATATACAACTCTTATTTTAATCACTTTTTAAAATTCCCCTTGGAACTATGTGAAAAATTGCCATGAAGTTAGGTCAAAATCCTGCCTAAACTAGGGCAAAATTTCACTAAGTTTCTAAGTTTCATGAACATGTATTCACAAAATCATAACTTGAAATTCATGCATTTCTAAGATAAGTTGTGTGAGTATATGTTTTAGATCTCATTAAGTTCTACAACTTTCATGTTGAAAGTTTCTCTTGAATCATCTTGCATCATGGTGAAAAATTGGCTCAAAGTTGTGAAAAAATATGAAATTTTCAACACTTAGAAAAATTTCTAAGTTTGGAAACTTTAACTTTTCAAAATAAAATATTGACTTTTTGATCTCTTGATGAACAAGTTTCATATTTTGACATGTTTTGATGAATTATGATCTTTGACACTTGATTTTGACCAAAAAAGTCAAAGTTTGACTTTCTAGTGTACAATTGACTTTTGATCAGTTGACTGAAAATCAACTATCAATCAAATGACCTTGAGAAAGGTTTAGAGTCATGCCATTAGGTCAAAATGATTCCATTGAATTCTTGAGATCATATTTCTAACCAATGAACCGTTTGCTAGGTCAAAAATCAGAAATTGCCCTTTCTCAGTCAAAACCCTAATTTTGACCATTTTGCCCTTTTGATGATCTGATCAAATTTCTTGAGGAATTGTGGTCCAAACTTGATCAAATGACATATAGGAGTTCACAATGTTGATATGGATAAAAAATTATGAAGTTTGACTGTAAATTGACCACAATTGACTTTTTTCCCAATACAATTGATTTTTAGATCAACTGATCGATTGACTGAGCAAAAATGTGATCCAAGACTTGAAACTTGACATGAGCAATCTTGAGGGTCCATAATTATACATGAAAGTCATATGAGGCATTAAAAGTTCAATCATCATTGTGCAATCTCAAACCCTAATTTCAGCCACCAGTGCTTAAGGAGGTGTCTTGAGCTGATCAACCCTTGTGGAGTCTTGAACCAAAGGAGATCTTGTGAGAAAATACTTGATAAATGAGAGGGAAAATTTTGGGGTACAATAGTTACATAACTAATGATATCATTTCAACATTTCTGATATCACAACATCACAAGCACCTGCTGAAGAAGTCATAGGTGCCAAAAGGCCAAAAAAAAAGGGGAAAGAGGTGATGCCAATTAGAAGGGGGTCAAGTGAGAGGATTAATAGATGATAAGGGTGGTACTTTGACACATGAAGGGAGTAGATCTCAATGTGAAAAGAAGAAACTTAGGAAGTAATATGTTATGCCTTTGTTATGACCAAGTTTAGCATAGTGTGTTTGGACCTTTAAGTATAACTTATGTATTTTGTTATGAATTATGCCTTTTGTAATGGATAATACTCCTTTTGCTATGGCTTATGCCCTTATATTATGACTTCTGCACTATGTTATGGCTTATTCCCTTGTGTACTGAATTATGCCTTATGTATTGCATTATTCCCTTGTGTACTAAATTATGCCTTGTGTTGTGCCTAAATTATTGCATGTTTAGTTGAAACTACCTTTGCTGATTGACATAAAACATCATATTATATAACTCATATGACAGGGAAGTAAAAGGTATTTAACCTTTTTTTTATTAAATAGACTTTTAAAAAAATTTAAACCTTTTCTATTTAAAAAACTAACTTGACATGAACACGTGTAGGCTAAATGGTATGACTCTCTTAATTAGTCGGACCTATTTTCACTCCTAACCGTTATCAATTGTGAAACAAAAACTGAAAAATTGGTTGATAAAAAATAAGCTTATAACAAATAATGAATAAATTAGAATATTTAATTTAGTGTTTAATAAAATTAATAAGATAATTAATTTATAAAAAATATCAAATAAATATAAAAAAAGATATTTTTTCAAGTATTATAACAAAAGTAAATTTGAGATATAAAATACCAAATTATAAACTATAAATTACTTCAATTAGTATATAAGTTAAAAAAATAGTTATTAAACAGGTCTTCTTTACCCTATAAAATTTTTATTTGACTCTAACCATGTAAACTTGTATAACCTTATTTTTATTTGAATAGTTGTATTTTTCTTTTATTGAAATCTAAAACACACTAATAATAGACATACTAAATACTATGTGAACTTTATGTGTTTGAATGACATTACTTCTCAAAGTTTCTCTAATTTAAGATTAAATATTTGTTGGAACTTATCTATCATGGGACCCTATGAGTTTACATTCAAAATCCCCTGGCTTAGCGTAAAACTATGGACTCTAATCCAAAACATCACCATCCCCTAACCCCACCACTAACTTGTTTTTATACCCAACAATTTACTCATTCTTCTCTCACATTCAAACTATTCTAATCCAAAACCTTTCACCTTTTCTATTCATTATTCTCTCTCAAAAAAAATGGAGGGTCTTATTCCTTTGGTTTACAAGACAATTATGCAATACAAGAGTGGGAAAGAAGATGCTATAGGATCATGGATTTCTGAATCACCTTCATATTCTTACACGAGACTTCCAACTGGTGATTCTGGTCGGTTTCAAATTCAAACAACTTCATCATCTTCTTCTTCTAATCATGTTTCTTCTTCTTCTTCGGCTACAACACATGTTATTGTTTCTTCTAGTGTTCAATCTCCACATCATTGTCTCACACATCGTCGAATTGCAGCATAAATAAATAAAATATTTGATGTCAAAGTTCACCTCAGAAACAAACATAGCCTAGATCAACAAAATCAAAATGGTGGTTGACATATATAGATGGACTTTAATGGAGGTTTCGTGCTTTCAAATAATGGGAAGCTTTTGGTTTTTAAATTTTGAATTTTGAAGCTTTTGCTCATCATGTTCTTGTTTAGTTTGTAAATTAAATTGTAATTAGGCATTAAGAAAATGTTTGATCTTGCTTTATGGCCAAAAGGGTCACTTAAACTATGAGTTATTACTCGAATTGATGAGCAAAATGTATGTAGCTTCTTTCTGTCAAGGGATTTGTAGAACAAAACAATTAAATTGTTTATTTTATTTTATTTTATTTTATTTTATGATTTTATTTTTATTATTGAATACTCTACATGTAAATAAAATCAGAACGTAAGATAAAGTTATTTATTATCAATTATAAGATAAAATCAGAAACTTATGGTGGGTGGTGGCTGCCCAAGGGAGATGACTTTAGTTTTAAAAACCTAATCCAAACTTGTAAATTACATAGTTTTTATAATATGATCTGTCTTTTTCTCTCTTACATGTGGTGGAAATGTGAGACTTTATTTAATATCTCATTTTTTTAATAAAAAAAATCTAAATTATTCTACTTTCTAAATTATACATCAAATTACCCTATACTTTTTCCTTGTCAAAGTCGTATAAGAATATGATTTCTAAACTAACCAAATTATGTTTTTTTTTTGACAATGTTGGTTGGTCATCTCTCTAGGATGCAATCTTCCCAACCTTGAGTTTTTATAAAAATAATTAGAATAGGACATGCGCATCGCGTGATACGAAAAATTGTCTAAGTGGTAAATAAAAGTTCTTAAAATAAAATAAAATTATATTTATGGTAGATATTATTTATTATAAACACTATGTAATATAGATAATAAGATTACCATAACAAAAAAATAGTTTAATTTTATTTGAAAAATAATAATTTATGAATAATGAAAATGCAAAATCAGGCATAAAAATAAATGTTAAAACAAAAAAAATCTTTAAAATTGGGATAAATTTTGATCAATTCTCAAGTGCGAGAGTTAAAGATCCAAGTAAATGATAGACCTAACCATTTATGCGAAAAACATATGGACCAAATTGTTTATTTATTTTGTGATCAATTTCCGCCCATGGATGTAAAAGCAAAAGTTGAATTATAAATCTGAATATTTTGTCGAAAAGATTTTGCAACGGTATTTCCATTATAGTTAAATAACTCGTTGAGTAGAGAAGGAGGTAATTTTAAAAGGGGGAGTTGTACTCGTCCCTCCATGTAGCACATGGAGAATTTTGGATGGTTAAATTTTCTACTCTTTGATGTTTTCTCCTCGTACCAATGAAGAGCTCCACAGAATTCACATATGCATATCGGTTCTCAAAAGTTCCAAAGTTCGACTATGAACTCTATTAGAAAATAAGTAAAATATTTGTACATTGTAAAAGTCGATAGAAAATATAAGAAATTAAAGAAAATAATTTAGTAATGAATTGCAAGAATTTAAAATTGACCTTTATGGCGAGTCACTGTAGCAGGAAAACACGTCGTAGATGAAGAAACATTTAAATGTTGTAAAGTATGCTCTACAAAGTCAAATAAAAACGATGAAGTAAATATTAGTGTGTCCTTATATACAAAAAATAAAGCTCTGTGTTGAGATCATTATAACTTTTCATATCTTATATTACTTACTATGCATTAGATAGTCAAATATATGATCATGAAGTTTTATTTGTACCTTTGTTAACATCAAAAGTGACATTCTTTCTTTGAAGGAGTAATTGTTTTCTTCTTAACCTTGCATGTCGATATTTAGCAAGTTTTATCATGTTATTTGTGTCTACATTTAAAAAGAGAAATAAAACAAATAGATTTAAATATTAGATAATTATGTGTTTCACTTATTCCACAGAATTCACACACTCGTGCCGGTTCTCCAAAGTTCCAAGACTCGACAATGAGTTTTGTTAGAAAATAAGTAACATTTTTGTACATTATAAAATACGATAGAAAATATAGAAAATTAAAAAAAAAATTAATAATGAATTCAAAGATTTGAAAATGATGAAATAAACATTAGTGCGTCGGTAGATACAAAATATATAATTATGTGTTGAGATTATTATAGTTCTCATATCTTATATTAGTTATTACGCATTAGGTAGTCAAATACATGATCATGAAGGTTTATTTGTACCTTTGTTAACAACAAGAGTGACATTCCTTCTTTATCAAAGTAATTGTTTCCTTCTTAATCTTGTACGTCGAAATTTAGCAAGTTTTGTCATGTTATTTGTGTCTACATCTAAAAAGAGAAATAAAACAATAGATATAAAAATTAAATAATTATGTGTTTCAGTTATTTCTCCAATGTCAGACATCATGAGGACTATTTTTTTCTTCTATTTAAGCAATTATAAATGCACCATTATATTTTTAAATACCTGAATTTTTAACAAAGGAGGTTTTTCTCCTTAAATCTAGCAAATATTTTCTTCTGACACCTTATTTTTACATAGTGAAATTTTAGTTCTGAACCGTGTCTCTCAGCTTCTGCATTTGGTTTAAAAGATAAATATGATAAAAGAAAGTGGAAAAATGTTAATGCACTCTTTACAAAAGAGTATCTCAAACAATCTAATGATCAAACTTTGTCATTAAATTATTATTTTTTATCTCAAATGAAATTTCAAATATATGATACCATAATGGTTTTGACAAATAATTTTCTATCCAACATAATAAAAACTCAACAATCTCACTTAGGATTTGGAGTCTCTTCTGCATATACGACAAACGCGGTACTATTTTACTAGAGATTAACTTTTGTTTGAAATCCACTAAATATCTATGATAAATTTCTACCACAATGACAATTTAATTATGAGACAAACAAAGAAAAAAGACAAGACAAATAATTTCTGCAGAGTTTCTCTCTGCTCACAAACATTGAAAACTTTCTTATTCACTTTGCAACTGCAAAATACTGTGAATGATTTGCTTGAGTTGCTTACAAAAAATAGGGGTTACTCCCTCTATTTATAACTGAGCTTGCACCCTAAGCCCAAAGCCCAAAATATATATTTTGTTACTAAATCAAATCTAATTTATTCTAGACTTAAATCAAATCTATTTAAATCTAAACAAATCTAATCTTTTCGACACTATGAATTACAATTTAACACACCACCTATTTCATTGTGTCTAAACTATCTATATTCATCATGACTCTTAGCCTTCTGAATACTTCGACTTGCACTCCCTTCGTCATGATGTCTGCAATCTGATTCTCAGTTCTGCAGTGTTCCAAATTCATCTTCCCATCTGCTACCTGCTCTCGAAGATAATGGAACCTCATTTTGATGTGCTTACTTCGACCATGTGCTATTGGGTTCTTCGCCAGATTGATAGCTGACATGCTGTCTATTTTCATGGTAATTGCTCCATGATCTTTCCCTGTTATCTCTTCGACCAAGTTCACCATCCAAGTTTTTTGACATGCACAAAAAGAAGAAGCTATGTATTCTGCTTCGCATGATGATAATGCTACCACTGGTTCCTTTCTTGAATTCCAAGCAACTGGTGCACCACCTAGCATTAACACATATCCTACTGTTGACTTTCGATCTTCAGCATCACTACACTAACTTGAATAAATGTATCCCACTAACTTGCATTCTTTTCCTTTATCAGCTGCAGGAAACAAAATCCCATAATTGAAAGTTCCTTTGAGATACCTTAGTATCCTCTTCACTGCTGCTAGATGTGATACCTTTGGCTTCTACATGAATCTACTTAGCATACCTACACTATATTCTAAGTCAGGCCTTGTATGACAAAGGTATCTCAATGATCCAATAAGTCTTCTGTATTGGGTTGGATCAACATCATCTTCATTTGTATCTTTCGACAGTTGCAGTCTTGGTTCTGTATGTGTCGAAGTTGAGTTGCATTCTTCCATCTCAAACCTCTTGAGAATTTCTCCTGCATATCTTCTTTGATGTATCATCAAACCTCTACTGCTCTTGTAGAATTCAATACCAAGAAAATATGAAATCTCACCCAAATCAGACATTTCGAATTCCTTGTCGAGGTCACCTTTGAAGTCTTCAATCTCACTTTTACAGCTACCTGTTATCAACAAATCATCTACATAGAGACATAGTATAAGCAATTCACTATTGCTTCTTCTTACATATACTCCATGTTCAGTTGTGCACTTTATAAATTCCTTCTCCCTTAAGAAACTATCAATTTTCTTGTTCCAAGCTCTTAGAGCTTGTTTCAATCCATACAGGGCTTTATGCAGCCTGTACACCTTTCTTTCTTTGTTATGTTTCACAAACCCAACTGGTTGTTTAACATAGAATTCTTCGTCTAAGGGTCCATTCAGGAATGCACACATCACGTCCATCTGACATATTTTCCAACTTTTTATTTATGCTGGACCAGCAACTAACCTAATTGTTTCGATCCTAGCAACAGGTGTAAAAACTTCATTGAAGTCTATTCCTTCTTTCTGTAGAAATCCTTTCGCCACAAGCTTTGCTTTGTGTCGAGTTACTTCACCTTTCGAATTCGTTTTCACTTTGTATACCCACTTGACATCAATTACCTTCTTGCCTTGAGGCAATTCGACAAGTGACCAAGTGTTGTTATCTTTGATAGACTTCACTTCTTTGTTCATTGCTTTCACCCACTTCGAGTCCTTCAATGCTCCAGCTGCATTAACAGGTTCGACATCTACATAGAAAGCATAATGTACCAGCTCACCTTCATCATCTATCACATTATCTGATGTAATCACACAATCTCGCAATCTTGTAGGCATGCGCCTTGTTCTCTGAGGTCTGCTTGTACTTGGTATATCTGTTGGTTCCTCTTGTCGAACTTCTCTTTCGACTTGAGTTTCTGGTTCTTCGAACAGGATTCCCACTGAATCTTTCTTTACATTTTC